GTGTTCATCATCTTGGAGATTGTTCCTGCCATGCAGAAATTCATGGTGCGACCTCTCCACTGTGCGGAAGAATTTTCATCACCGACTTATTCATAGCTGCAACGGACATTGAAAGTGAAATTTTCAAATGCTATAGGTAACGAATCTAAAGGTGGATTTTTGAACCGAGCTCTAAAATAATCCTGCTCTATTGGATAATACAGCTCTATAAAGAGGAGTATTATTTTTTCGATTTTTGAACTGGCCAGATAATGCAGCATTTGACAATGCTCAATTATAATAATCCTCGATTATTTTCAACACGACACGAATCGTTACATGAAATACAATTCGCCATCATTTCGCATTTTGCTTCTTCGTGAAAGACCCTGCACGACGACGAGGAGTAGTGGAGGACGCTATTCCTAATATATCTATTAGACCTGAAAAACAAATTTTCGGTGAAAAAATACGTCAAGGAGTTTGCACGACTGGACACGATGCAAGCCGTGCAGCCCTTCCATTGCGACTGATGAAAATAATCCAACATTATCGACGAAAGAGGGCCTCTGGACCTACTCTACTGTATTACAATCACGAACTGATGTCTAAATAAAATGGAGCATTATGGAAAATGCTCGGTTCAAAAATCGCTTCTTTGATAATAGAGCATTTTCCTGGAAATAAAGCTGCATTATCGGATAGTGCTCTGTTCAAAAATCCACCCTAAATGTGTTATTTCTGTTGAAGGATTCTTGAAAGTTTATTAATGCAAACAAACAAAATTAATATTTCTAAACCATATCTTTCGCCCTTTTGGACAAATATTTTTGAACCACCATTGTACAGCATGGCTCAATATTGGTACACATCTTGCACCATTAATGGGATTACTACCGGGTCCCTTGTTGGGGCAATACTGGCGTTCGTATTTTCCCTTAATTCTTTATCCAGTGGAGGTATTCCAATGGCGAATCATTTTTATCTGCAGTACTAGTACGGCCTCTACCAGTACATCGTCCTGCCCCTACCCGTCCCATGTATAGGCAGGATATATAGATCAGTACATAGGTTATCTCATATTCATGAGTCAGACAAAGCACAGAATTCCATTTTTCATAGGGGCGGTAATATGCGCTTTCATCTTTCCGTTCACCTTTGAAATTGAACCATCCTCCTATATTTCGAGCCAGAGTTTTCTGAATACTCCTTGGACTGGGATACGTCTAAAGACCGACCAGTTGAACGTCTCAAATATTGTCCCCTCTGGTTTATTCGGAAAAAGATCGGCTACCGTGTGTGGAAGGTATTGGGTACGAATTCCAACTGTATCAGGAATGGACCCGCCATTGCGACTACGTTGGCGTCATCTAGCGTCGGTTGCGCGAACCTTTGGTTCCAGCCAATCTCTGATGGATGGCAAAGGTGTGCTTGAGGAAAACATATCTTAAACGTTCGACGAATGTCCTTCAAATGCAGGATGTTTTGTGGTGAGACGGCACTTTACATGAGTGCCCAAAAGCTGGCAATTCGTAACCATTGGACGTCAAAAACCTATTTGAAAGCACCGTGAACGTCTTTGAATGCCGTCCGTGGCCCGATGGAGATCAGCCATCTGGGATCCTTTCCTTACCCGAATCCGCAGCATCGACATCCCTACTTGAAAAGGGAGGCATCGATAAATGTCGGTCGATAAGAGGGAGGCGGTGAGTCGCGATAAAGAAGACAGTCCCTTCCCCGGGAACCTCGCAGTTGCGTTCAAGGGAATTAATTCCGGTCGTGAACTGCATAGCAGAATCGAAGGACTTCCTTCGCATCTCAGGAATTCCGATACGACGGAATAACAGCGTTCTCGTTAAGCGCTTTTGAAACTTCCTAACTACTACATTTCATAACGAACGACCAGGGTCCGAACGACTTCACCAGCTGGCAATCACTTTCGATCACTGGAAGCAACAAGTCCACGTCGATCATTTATTCCTCACCAGACAAGTAAACCTAACGGAGCAAAATTGGCAATCTAAACAAATATTGGAGTTAATCGCTTCCACTTCGAGCATGATATGAACGACATTTTGAGAAGTCAGAACTTCCGGGAGGCTTATCATGTTCCAATTACTTGAATGCGCCTTTGCCAATGTCCAGTCCCATCATAATGGTCGTTCACGGCATTGCCAGAAAATCGCGGCAAATAGAATTAATTTAATATCCCTATCACATTCCCAGTGCCAGGAGTTACATTGCGCATTCATGGTTTATATCCACGCGCTTGGAACACATGGTATGTCATATTTTTATGCTCTTCATCTTGCAGCACCTGTATGCTTGCAGGATCATAGCCATTCCGCGGAAGACCTTTTCTTTTCACTGGATAGAAAGATTTGAGCACGGAACGCGCCGACCCGGCACCGTTACACGCATTGCGTAGGCCAGGGGTGTCGAACTCGATGAAGCTGGGGCCGGATGGAACCCTTCAGGGGTGGTTTGGTCATCATTAGCAAATTTTACACCGAATTTTCGATTGCCAACGGTTTGAGTTCCTGGAAGTCTTCCACGGGTCGGCTAGTCGAGAATATTGAGGGAGCGTCCGTCAACTCCATTCCACATTTCCTCTTCTTGATGGCAGAATGAGGAAATAAAGGACTGATTTCGCGGATACTCTATAGAACCGTGTGATGTGATCTTTCCTCTGACGTGTGCCGTAATCGGGACAGCCAGAGGCGGATCGACTTCTGTAACGTCCCGGGTCTCCTGCCTATTATCCTGGTCGTTCAACCTGCCACGGGCATCCAGTACGGAGCCTGCGTACGGGCTCCGTGCAGATGGGAATACCTTCACTGGATGATGAATTCGTGCATACGATAAACCGTAGCCGCCAATATAGAACAAAACCAGCTACTTGGGTAAGTGGTGTAAATGTTGCGCTTCGACTTCCATCCAACGTTGGCCCAACGCACTTTTACGTGGGGCCTACGTGAATGACCTACATTGGGCCAACGTGTCCTGACGCTGGAGGACCACATCAGGCCAACGTGAGCCAAACGACTAATGTCATCTGGAAGGTTTCAAATACGATGAAAACTCGTTAACTCAATCTTTAAGGAACCGGGCAAAACGTTTTGATTTATCCGAAGTTCGAATTACCAGGAATTTCCTCCCCCCCCAAAAAAATAAATAAATAAATAAATAAATCCTCAGGTTAATGATATACCCAGGGGGGGAATTTTTCGTCCTCAAAAACCAAATTTCACAGATCGATGGCCTTTCCATTAGAACTGACTTTTATTCATTCCGAGGAATCTGGAATTGACTTTTATTCATTATTTGATACTCCATATGCAACATTTTTTTCTTACAACGCCTTTTATCCGGGGCTATTTGGACTTTTTCCATTTCTGACATGAATTCAGTGATCTTCATTGCTTCGTAAAGGAACCAGCAACTCCAATAACAACAAGTACTCCAATATGCCTATTCCCTGGAACGAGTCGCCTGGCACTTTCCCTCGATAGAGAGGAGAAATTTTCTCACGATCGACAGTGCTTCGTTGGCATCGTTCAATGATGGCGTTAGAGCATTCAGATTTCTTCGACAGTCCGAATGAAATGCAACTTCTCTTCGAGCGTCAGAGCTTTCAGTTTCCTCTCGAGTGGGCTCATTCCACACCAACAGCGTAAAAGAAATAGAATATGACAGGAATGGCTGAAAGTGAGAGCGATAGACGGAGAATGTTGGAAGTTCCTTCTTTTTTATAGCCGAAGCTTTCCGGTTTTAATGCTCAGATTTAATCCTCTCCACAGGCGTCTGTGGGAGGAGAGAGAAGCAGAAAAAAAAAACAATAAAAAGAAAAGAACATCCTCCTGAACGGGTTTCTTCTCATTTATCAGGTTCATAAAATCGAAAATTCCCAGTCCCACAATAATAATGTTTTCCCCCCTTCACACCCTGAATTCCAGGAAATGTGGGATGGAGTTGACGGACGCTCCCTCAATATTCTCGACTAGCCGACCCGTGGAAGACTTCCAGGAACTCACACTGTTGGCAATCGAAAATTCGGTGTAAAATTTGCTGATGCGGACCAAACCACCCCTGAAGAGTTCCATCCGGCCCCAGCTTCATCGAGTTCGACACCCCTAGCCTACGCAATGCGTGTAACAATGCCGGGTCGGCGCGTTCCATGCTCAAATCTTTCCAATATCCAGTGAAAAGGAAAGGTCTTCCGCGGAATGGCTATGATCCTGCAGGCATACAGGTGCTGCAAGATGAAGAGCATAAAAATATTACATACCATGTGTTCTAAGCGCGTGAATATAAACCATGAATGCGCAATGTAACTCCTGGCACTGGGAATGTGACAATGTTAAATTAATTCTATTTGCCGCGTTTTTCTGACAATGCAGTAAAGGACCATTATTATGGGACTGGGCGCGTGACATTGGCAAAGGCGCAGGCACGTAATTGGAACATGATGAACCTCCCTGAAGATCTGACTTCTCATACTTTGTCAAGTGTTTTGATTAAAAAAAAAAGATAGTCCCAAATAAATAAATCTCACTTCGAAACGAAGGTGTAACCATCTCTCTCTTCAAATACCAGAGATTCCTTTGAGTGATTCTCGTCGGAAGACAGAAAGACGTCGGCTTCAAGATGGGACGAGTGCATAAATAGTGGCGGGGAAAACGCGATGTTCCCAACCGTGATGTGTCACATCCAGGTAACGAAAATGGGAAAAAAATTACTGGGAAAATCGGCAGCCACTCTCGTCTGATGGTGATAAGATATCATCTAAATTTCGTTACAGCTGTTGCGTCAGCATGAGCCCAAAGCTCGATTTCTGTGCCTAATCTCAATTCACGTCTCATTCTTGTGCCGAGTTTTTTGTGCTTGTGCGGACCACAAGAAATAGTGGGTGATTGAATATGTCTAATGGTGGGAAATTCGCAATCATCACTTGTCTCATTTCGACTACGCTGATCTTCGCGTTCTTCGTCGTCCAATTCCTTCCTCCTTCGAAAACGCAGAGGAGTGTTGTCCTTCGGGAAAACATGCGTGCGAGCGAGATCGAAGACGAGTTTCTCGCGAGATGCGAAGTACGGAATTTTGCCTTGACCAGGGCAACAGTCAAGGACGAAATATTCCGCCCTTTCTGGCCGCAGCTGCCTTTGACGGCAGAGCAATGCCGGAACGCGACGTTCGTGACCACCGAGAGCAGCGGAAGACTGGGGAATTGGATCGGCGAGTACGCCACCCTCTTTTCCTAAGGAAGAAAATATGGGAAGATCCCCGTTCTCAGTGGTATTCTTTTAGATGACCTGCTTCCGCTCTTCCCATATGTAAGCCTAAGGAGGATCGACGAGACGGGATGTCCCAAAAGGGAATGGTCGAAGGCTAACGTTCGCTCTCATTATGGCACGGTCGTCCCTCTATGGAACGACACGGAATTCATTCGTGATAAGGACGTGAAGTTCACGGGTGCCTCTAACGATTTCGGACTTTTCGACGAGTTCAAGGCCGACTGGATGCCGGATTTCACATTTAGTTCAACTTTGTTGGAACAGATTCAAGAATTCCTCTCGATTGTTTCCGGCCGATACGGAAGAGACGTGACGTACGTGGGGATCCACGTCCGTCGAACCGACAAGATTAAATCCTATCGAGACGTATACGGTGCTAAACCCTTGACGACTGCCTACTTCAGAAGGGCCATGACCGTTTCTGTGGCCTCATGTTTCCCAACATCGTGTTCATCGTTGCCAGTGATGACACGAAATGGTGTACGGAGAACATCAAAAGCGTGGACGAAACGATGCCGATCGTGTTCGTTGAAGGAAAGGGTCGAGACTTTGACTTCGCCGTCCTGTGCCATTGCAATCACAGCATCATTTCTTATGGGACATTTAGTTTCTTTTCGGCTTATATCGCCGGTGGGCTCGTCATCAGTCCAAAAATGATCTCTGAGAAAGTCCTACCGATCGATTTGAAAGTGACCGATCTTGACAATTGGATTTTCGTGAATGGCTGATATCGCGCGTCCTCTCTTAAAATAAATATATGCAAAGAAAATTGTTACTTTATGTGCATCACCGCACGATATGGTTCTGACAACTTCCAAATCGCTGCGTTTTCCATATTCTTCTCTTCCAGGTTCGAGAATCAAGGCCGAAATGAAATTTTCGGAAGAACGTTCGGACCAGCGGTTCCCAACCGTCATGTCTCGACCCACACCACTGTCATCATTGAGTTTCCTTCTCTACCTCTCTCGGCCGAGGATGCAAGGATCACTTCACTCACTATTGGTGGTGCTGGCTCTTTTTCCTCTCGTATTTCATTCTCTAGCAAATAATATGCAATGGTTATCTTGGGTGGGGAATATCGCATGAGTGAAATATTGGTAGCATAGCAGTTAATTAGGAGTCAACTTTTTATCTGCAAACGCAGGAGCATTAAATCGTTCATCACTGAGAGTGCAATAAATATTTTCTGAAATTGCATATTCAATAATATGATGAAATTTTCTTATCTAATACATTCGGAGCCTAAGTGCAATCTCAGGCAACCTCGCAACTCGACGGCTTCATGAATACCAACGGCCTTAAGCAAACTTAGGTCCTCCTTTTTTCAGGCGAGACTTGATTTACGTCTGGCGCCATTACAGTCTGCACTGATCAAAGTTCCCGTTGTAAAAGAGAAAGATGAAAGAGAAGCAGCGACTAGCCGAGTTCGACCCAAGCGCCAACTGGAGTGAATCTCTCCGACAAAAGAAGAGAACGTTTTAGTTCAGCACGGTGTCGATTCCTATCTGGATATGTGAAGCACTCTAAGCAAACCCGTTGCAACTGCCGTAATACAGATTTCCGTAACAATGACTTGACCACCCCCAGCAAATACACATGGACGATCGGGAACGAGTGACTGACTGGCGCTAATTCCAGCCATGTTATAGGTGTTCTGGGAAGATGAAATTTGGTACAGGAAAAGGTGTTGGATTGCTGACTTAAGATAAAATCCGACTATTAAGAAAAATATGGGGGCATTGTTTTGAGGGGAAGGGAGGACATTTTTCAAGAAATTCTTTGGGTCCAGCGAATTTCTATGAGCCTCTATTGTCTCTATGAGCCTCTCTGCCAAATAACAGATGCATACGAGAGTCCTTTTTAAAAAAATGAGTAAACAAAATTTAGTAAACAAAGTCAGATGGTGATTTGTAACCATCCAACTTTGGTCAGAACTTTTAACCCATTAAACCCCACGCACGAGTATACTCCTGATCGCTCCTTAGGAAACTCGGGAGTTAAAGGGTTAAAGGAAGTGTCATATGCAGCCGATGCTTGACAGGTGTTTTTAGGTCTTTCGTTCTGTTGCCCCTCACATGGCTGTACATGTCGACAGGGGGCAATGCGGTGTTACAAGCAAGGATGAGAAATGGACAATAGATATTGGCTAAAAAATATGGAATATGTCTAGCATTCACATCACCCCAGGCAAGATGGTGAAGCTTTCAGGGCAGAAATGTGTTGCGTTGATTCGCTGCTTGTACCAAAATGTAATCTCTGTAACCAGCAACATATATTTAACGTGATTTAACGTGAATAACGTGATCGGTTGGGTCCCGGCGTGGAAGTCCCCAGGCAAATAGCCATGGGCAAGTTCCCTCTTTCGCCCTCCCCCTCTCCATGTGTCTGCTATGAAAAACCTTGCTCGTGCAACTTCAGTAAGATGGCGGCCATACGGAAGACCATTTTATTCGTGCACTCTCTATGAGAATACCCCTTCATATGTAGATAATGATCGTCGTTAGAATCACTCTCCGTGCAGTCAGTTTGGAAATTGAACCATCCTCCCTCTCTCGTTTGAGTCTGAGTTCCCTGGAGACTTCTTGGATTGGGATATCTCTAATGACGGATTTGTTGAAGAACTTGAGTATTTTCCGCTCTGGTTTATGCGGAGAGAGATCAACTACATTGTGGAAAGTATTGTGGACTAATTCAAGCTGTATCAGGAATCGACCCGTTATAGCGACTATTTCGGCGTCATCTATCTTCGGTTGTGCGACCCCTTTTTCTTTCAGCCGATGTTAGATGGATACCAATGACATGTTTCAGGAAAATATGATAAACGTTCGACGAATGTCCTTCAAATGCATGAGGTTCGCGATTAAAAGGCACCTTAACTGAGTGCCAAAAAGGTGCTCATTCCGGCACACTGAACGTCGAAAGACCTCTTTGATAACATGTTCAACGTCCACGAAAGTGTTTATGTGCTATTTGGGCAATGTCATCTATATAATAAAATCTACTGTGGTTCGTGGTGGTGGTCGTGGTCGGTGGTTCGGGGAATGCGCGCGCATACATGACAAACGCGTGCGCTCGGCGCGATCGTGTGTGCTCTCCCCATGCTCTTCTGCATGCCTCTGGGTGTACGTCTCCTTCTCTCGGGCGAGCAATTTTTTTTCTGGCCGTTGCGATTGTCGGATCTATTCTGGAGAACGTAGTAGCCCGGGGGATGGGGGAAGAGTTCGGATGACATAAAAGGACGAAAAGAAAATGATGAAGAGGGCAAGTATCGAATCCAGGGCCTCCAGGTTGTCGGTTGAGTGTGCTACCGCGACACCACCGAACCCAAGACTGTCAGTTGTTCCACTCCATGCCATCCCTAACATAGCAACGGGAGAGAGAGGCATTCTATGCACGCCTCCCCCTCTCTATTTCGATGGGTCCAGTACGAACTTTTCCTTAGGTACGTATAAAACGTCTCAGCGTATTACACTTGTTCGTCTACTTTCATCTCTGGAGGAAGGATGACTTCCTCGCCGGTATGAGATCTCCGCCCATATATTTATTGGGATCCCACCCTCTTTATCGATGGAAACCCCATCCTCTTCCATCCTCTTATTCCTCGCAAGGACTCACTCCCACGTGTGAAAACGGCGGGATGCCACCTGTACGGCACAGAAGCGCTTACTCTTGGATCGGAAAGACGACGTCGGCGGCGTCGTAACCATCCCGTTTCTCTAACTCCTCGACTTGATAGGGCTCACTGGTTCCTCTGAGAACCTATTATGCCTTCTGTGTCGGGGCTCTTTTCCTAAGTTAGTACTAGTATTTAAAAGAAATTGAGTTGAAAAATCGGGGGAAATCCAATAGGAGTGAATGGTGACCAGGGGTCATGAGCCCAACAAGTATGGCTTTCAATTGCAGCACGCATGCCTATACTGTTCCTATGGGTGCACCATCTCCAGTTATTTCTTTGCTCAGTGGCTCTCCCATAACCATAGTAACAGGTACACGCAGCGTAGCATGAGGCCATTAACGTTCGGAAACGTGTGCGGCGGGTTGCAATGTGAGTAGCGTGAACGGATAAAAGCCCACATACCACATTGTCCTACGAGACGACGATTTAAGGCAACGCCTTCATCTTTGATTCCTTCGTCTTCGCTCGGCGTCGGTTCCCCGTCCACAGCAATGACGATTAACGAAGCGCAGGGGCAGACCGAGAAATTAGGGCTGCTTTCGCCGCGTCCAGTCTTCTCACACGGCCAATCAGGGGGGAAGGGGGCAAGGGGGCGGGAGTGTGGCGACCGCCTCCCATGGCCATGTCACGAATACCGCATTCATTGCCTTTAATAATTCCGTGCTTTTGCAGAGGCTACCTACTAGTTAGGAAAATAAAGGAAGATACAGCACGCAGCACAGCGACGATCAGCAAATAACCGTATTCTTGTATTTTTTTTTGCAAGATCCCAGCTCCCAAACAGTACACCTGTATTTTTTTTTGCCATCTACCAATGCGACTGCGATACGGGAAAACGATCCAACCCTTTGAAAATTTCTCACTCTCGCCGACCGCGTTATGCGTGCAATTCCACAAATCTGCATTTAGAGCCAAGGAAACAAACGAGGAAATCAGGCTGATGGGTTTCTTTACGAAAGCCCGTGTGAACGCATGCGACGACGAGCCGAGGAATCGCCCCGTATTTCCTCATGGACCCTTCAAATCCCTGGATTCACGGCAGCAGGCGGGAGGCACTGCAGTGAGCGATGCCACCGTTCCCTTCCAACAACCATGGCAACTCTCGTTTCCAAGTTAATTCGAAAGATGGCGAGACGAGAGCTAGTGGCCGATTTCCAATGAAAATTGCCTCCCCTCCCTTTCTTATGGTCGATTTGCAAATTTAATTCCTCAAAGGCACATCCTCGGGTGGTAAAGAAGAGTACTGTCGAAACCCCAAGTTCATATCGTTTCATAATCGTTTGGCCTGTAGAGCTGTCACACAGAGGTTTCAGTGTGACCCTTTGCAAAGTAAGGAAGGCGAGGCGAATGCTCTCGAAAGTTGGAATTCCTTGGACGTTAATGAAGTCTCGTGACGACGCCATGCAGTCCACAAACGGATTTCGTTTTTGCGGACGATGCAAACTGCGAGGTCCTCACGGAAAGTCTGGTTCGCATCGGGGCATCGCCCTCATCCGGAGACGCGATACCGACGCTGCTCCTCTCATACATGGATCGTGGCCCGGGAATAGTGCCGGATCGGAATGCGAAAGACTGCACGGGAAGGAGTCTCGCGCGTTCGAGTAGAGACTCCGTGGAGAGACGATGCAGATATCTGAAACGTGTGAAGCGAACAAAGGACTCGGTATGTCCGTAAACCAGCGATCATCGCGTCGCGAAATTGACGGTATCATCGAAACACGTTGAAGAGTCACATTTCGGATCGATAATATTGGGTACGTCCCCCCAAAAAATAATTCCCCGTGCGTTAACTTTCAGGGAGCTCCGTCCGATGTGTAGTGCTAGGGCCAGGATGGCACTTTGCCTAGCACCGTGGGTTAAAATGAAAGACCAGTTGGGAGCTCCATAATTAATCTATTGGCTTGATATTTGAAAAAAACTAATAAAATATATGAAAATAAATAAAATTAATAAATAAATAAATAGGT